CCCCCTTGACCTGTCCGTCCTCCCTGGACTGACCTACCCCCTTCCTAACTCCCTACCTACACTCACCTTTACTGGCTCCATCCCCGCCTCTTCGATCTGTTTGTTTCCTCTTCTCTATCCCTCTTCTATCCGCCTCCCACTCTCTCCCTATTTATTTCAGAACCCCCTTCCCCTCCCCCTTTTCTGATGAAGGGTCTAGGCCCAAAACGTCAGCCTCTCTGCTCCTATGATGCTGCTTGGCCTGCTGTGTTCATCCAGCCCTGCACCTTGTTGTCTCGGATTCTCCAGCATCTGCAGTTCCTACTATCTCTGCTGAATTGGTTGATTGGCCATGATCATATTGAATGGCAGAGCAGGTTCAAAGGTCCAACTAACTGACCTATTTCTACTCCTATTTTCTTATTTAACCATCTTTTGCTAAAGAGAAAAGTGGACTGGATAACGCAGAGGTTGAAGATGGTGGCTGGAGTTCTGATGTTCTGATAATTTTATTTGAATTGTTAACTGTTTGTTGCTTAGCAGTACAGAGTTTGGATATTGTTGAAAACAGACATGCTGTAAAATCCTTTCATCTTGCAATGTTCAGGACAAACACAAAGTTGCCATATTGCAATAACTTATACTGCAGGAAAATAGGGTGCAGATTGTCGACAAGTCAGCTTTGATTAGTTGAGGTGTTGTCCCGTGTGTTTTTGTCTTATAAATTATCTTGTAAATAGGGCCCAAGCCATCTTCTAACCATGCAAGCCTTGCACCAAAGTAGGACTCACCAAAGCTATCAAATCATTGCACTAACTCTCAAATGAACCCCAGATGTGAACGTGCCCAGCCAACTGAATATTTCACTGAAAATTTCACTGAAAGAATGAGGTATCTCATTCATTTGAGCAACAGCTGAAGCATTTTCATGCTGTTACTGTGCAGTGAAAGTGGTATTCTCCCTTAATGGACGCTGCCGTCAAGGCAAAGAGGTGGTTAGCATACCACACACCAGTAATGTGTCACATGAATTTCAGTGCCAGGTACATAGGCTGTAGGTCCTTATGAATAGTGAATCTTATTAAACAGCACATCACTTTGGCATTTCAAGGTGATCACACTGAACAGGCCTTTCTAAACTCGGAAAGCAATGTCTAATATTATGTATGACTTTGTGTTTAGACAATACTTGCTGTACTATCAAAAGTATGCTATGAACTACAGTAGCAACCAATTTAGGATTATTTGAGCTTACATATTCTTGCTACAAACTATATATATTCATAGACAGGCTCCTGATGTGTGCAAGTAAAGGAATATGTCCAGTGTTGCACCTTTTTTAAAAATTAAACAAAAGCAGAGGGGATAATAATTTCCTTGCATGTTCTTCACTGCAATGCCTTGATCATTCAGAGTCCACCTGATGATCAGTCAACACCCTTTTTTTCCCTGTGATTTTTCAGCAATAGCCCCCATGCTGTTCTTTCCCACCCAGACCAGGAGATATCATATTTTGCACCTGCTCTGTGCTGAACCAGCAGTTCTCTGACTAAGTGAGGAGCAAGGGGAATGAGAAGTCATCCAAGATTTCTGCTTGAGGCCACTGTATAGTGAACACTGCTGGATGTGTTTGGGTGCAGTAACCAAACTGGGAGGGGTCGAACTTGCAACTTGGTACTTTGTCAACTTGGCCAAAATAAAAGGACTGTCCCTGATGAATCTAATGTGAAGGCTGGCTCTAGAACTACACAGATGTATAGGCCCAACTGGAGGCCAACGATATGTGTCAGTAGTTCCTAAGAGTGAAATAGCACTAGTAATCCATAACCATTTTGGTTAACCTCAAAATGATTGGCAGTGGAGTGGAAATCATGACTCCTACCTTCTCTACTACCATGCAGATGTCAGGTTATCTGGGAGTTCTACTAGACGGGTTATATAATGTGTTCTCTCTGAGGTCTTGCAGCATCCTAGCAGAGGGTAAGTCAATAACGTCTGTTACACGAAAGCAGCTGATGCAAAATGATTAGATTGTGGTGATATAATAAAATATACGAAGGCTGTACTTTATTTAAAACAAAGTAGTTTAATCTGGGTTTGTAGCCTATTTATAGGTGACTTTTTTCTCTCTGGTGAAATACAAGGCTTGTGTTCAGAGGGCGGTTTATCTGCACAAGCAAGAAATAAAGTGCTTGCATTTCTATAGCACCTTTTCACATCCCCAGAGTGTTACAATGGATTTTACAGCCAATTAATTACTTTGTTTAGTCATTGTTATTGAACAATGAATTTTAATAACCAAAGTGCACTCAGGAACAACTTCAGAGGTTTCAAAAACAAAGAGTACCAGATAATGTTTATGCTGTTGCAGATGAAAGCCAACCAAACCCGCCAAAAATATTACTGCATTTGTGTATTCACCTGAATTATGTCATTATGTCCTTATGTCTGTAAAGGAATTGAAACCTTTGGTTTTATGACTCTGAGGCAGTCTGGATATTTTCTAATCAGCCTGTTTAGAAATGTTATTGCGCACATCTGGACCAGGTGAAACTTGAACCTATGCATTCAGGCTCAGAGGTAGGGTCATTCACTGCAACACAAGAACCCTCTGAGGAAAGTCTGTTACCATTGAACACTTAAGTATTTTGTGGTGTCAGCTTGTTTTAGTCATGGTGCTGTCATTAGTGAGTTGCGGGTTCAAGTCCTAGTGTAGATTTATGAACCTAACCTTGGTAATACTTGAGTTCAGGAATGACATACCATCATTAGGATGAGATGTTAAACTTTTGGGTGAACTTTAAAGATTTTGTGACACTACTTGAAGTGCAACAAAAAAAAAAGTTGTTCTGATTTTGTGAGCTGGGATCTCTCCTAATTAGAACCCAATATAACTGGTCAATCAGCTTAGTTGCTGTTTAAGAACCCTTGCTGAGCAAACTTTGGTTGCCACATAACATTGCCTACCTTCCAAAAGTGCTTCATTGGCCAAATTATAGTTTGGGGTAACAGTGTGGAGCTGCAGTAGCACAGCAGGCCAGGCAGCGTCAGAGGAACAGGAAAGTTGACATTTTGGGTCGGGACCCTTCTTCAGTTTGGGGTAACCCGAAGACTTGCAAGGCACTATACAAATTGGGGGAGACAATGGTACAATGGCAGCGTGACTGAACCAGTAATGCAGAAGTCCAGGCTATTGTATTAGGAACATGGGTTCAAATCTCACCACAGCAGCTGGTGGGAAGTAAACTTGATTGATAAAAAACATCTAGAATTCAATTTAATTTTTCTTTTCTTCATTCACCAGATTTATTGCCCAGTTAAGAGTCAATCACATTGTTCTGGGTCTGGAGTCACATGTAGGCCAGACCAGGTAAGGATGGCAGTTTCATTCCCTAAAGGGCATTAGTGAATCAGATAGGTTTTTCCCACAATTAGCAATGGATTCATGGTCATCATTAGACTCTCTTAACTCCAGTTTTTTTTTGTTGTTGAATTCAAATTCCACCATCTGAAGGTGGGGGGGGATTTGAACCCACGTCCCAGAACATTACCTGGTTCTCTATAGGTTAAGAGTTCAGTGATAATAGCACTAGGCCATCGTCTCCCCTTAATTTTAACTAAATGATAATGGTGACCATGAAGCCGTCATTGATTGTCATAAAAATCCATCTAGTTCACTAATGACCTTTAAGGAAGGAAATTTGCCATCTTTATCCAGTCTGGCTTACATTTGACTCCAGACCTATAGCAATATTGTTGACTGTTAAGTGTTGTCTGAAATGGCCTTGAAAGTCACTCAGTTCAAGGGCACTTATGATGGATAACAAATGCTGGCCTTGCTAGCCATGTCCATGTCCCATGAAAGATTCAAGAAAAATATTATATGAACCTATCTCTTTCTCTTAATAGATGTTAATGAAGGTAGTCTTGAGTTAGGATGCAGGATTCGAACAGGTTATATCCTTCTCATTGTCTTTGGTATCTATGCCTCTGCCTGTTTCAAATAATTCTCAATTATTTTTACATCCACCCTCCGTTCCTGGTGTTGATATGATAACCTGGGTTAGTTTATACTCTTTGGTATTTTATTACTTGAAATCCCTTTTTTGCAGCAAGAATTTACAATTGTATAGCAACTTTAATGTAAAAAGGAAACAACAGATTGTATTCATATAGCACATTTAACATAGTAAAACAACCCTCAACACTTCATAGTAGTTTTGGCAAACAAGATCCATTTAATGAGATGGTGGATAAGCTGACCTAAAACTTGGTCAAGAAGATAGGCTTTAAAGTTCACCTTAAAGGAGGAAAGAGAGGTAAAGAGGTTTAGCAGGAAAAGCCCAGAGCTTAGGATCTTGGTAGATGAAGACCTAACCACCACTGGTGAAAGAACAAAAATTTTGGGTTGCTTAAGAGGCCAGAATTGGAGTACAAATGACTCAAAGAGTTGGAGGAGATTTGACATGTAAGGAAATATTTGAAGATGCTCATGTGGGGTGAGCAGGAAGAATAGGTAAAAAGGGTAGCAAAATGGATCACAAATTTATAGAGTGAGAACTGTTCAAAAGTTCTACTGAAGACATTATTATGACAAGGTTTGTAGGAGTGAAAATGCTAATAGAGGGCCAGCAGGGTTAGAAGCACCTCAACACTCACTATCAAAGCTTTGACCAAGGCTATTGGGGGAGGGGGTGGTGGGTTGCTGAAAAGAGAAGGGAGGAGTGCGCAAAAGATAGAGTTGGAAGCCCAAAGTGTATAAGGTGCCATGGGGGACCTTCAAGGTAACCAATATTTTAAATAAATGTGTTGGAACACATAGTTGGCATAAGCCAGTGAAGACTTAATGATGGATAAGTGAGACATAGTGAGTACAGGATATAGACCCCATTGTTTGAAAAGTTGAGAGTTTATGGAGGGCAGAAAATTAGAAGCCAGTTAGACTATTCAAGAAATCAAGTCTAATAAAGTGAGGCAAGGTCATGTCAGAGGCAAGCGACATTATGGAACTGCAAGCAGTAGTGGAGTTGGATGTGACTTGTGATTTATTGCCAAGATCTGTTCTAAATGGATGTCATGCTTCATCCTGTTTCCTTCAGCCTGAGCTTTTTGCTAGAATCGGATGCCAACTGTATATGACTATTGAATTTGCCCCTGTAAATGATGTCACTGAGTGGTAACAGTAGATGGGGAAATGGAGAAAGCCAAGAATAGATTGTTGAGGGACTGAATTAATGATGAAAGGGAGGTGGGATCTCATTGCTGAAAACATGCTGGCTGCATATGTTCAAATGAGTGATACCAGGGAAGTGTCACAGAGCTAATTAATGGCAATAAATAGCTAGCCACATCAAATATGACAGACAAAATAAAAAGGAATAATGCATCACAATCACCATTGCAGGAGAATGTTTGTGGCATTAACTAGAGTAAATTTAATGCTGTGAACAGAGTGGAAGTCAACATCTTTCTAGGTTATATTGCTGAAATATATTTTGTTTTCATATAACTCATCCCTTTACCTCTAAGATTAGAATTTTATTTCTAACACAATTAGATTTTCTTTTGCAGTCAAATGACCAAAGTTGAGCTCAGTGTTCTAAGTGTGATCTAGCTATTCTGATCTGCTTGTATGTCATAGAACTTTATTGCTTATGTAATTGCTTTTCCTTATTGCATGGGCATTGTGCCTAGAGTGGCTTCTTTAAAGAGTTCACTGAAGTTCACAATGAACATTGGAAATCTTTTAGCAAGGCTTTTTAGAGATTACATGACTAGTGATTACAGCTTGCTTCACTGTAGGCCCTCCTGGGACCTTTGTTTTTTGAACAATGACTGGCTTGGAGAGCTGCTTGTTTCATGTAGTTTAGTTTGAACAAGTTGCCAAGCTGAGCTCCGATTCTGAAAAGAAAACCCTCTATTTTGGTTCTGGATGAAATTTCTCCGTCCTTTTAAAAGAGTGATTGAAAGAACATCTCTTGTCTGTATTTCTTGAACAAGCTGTGTCTGAGATTTCATTCTGACATAGCCATGCATGATTAGTGGCTTGATCACATGTCATAACTCGCTACAGAATATTATGTGCTTTATCCTTTTTATCTTTTGAGAATAACCCCTTGGCCAGGTGCTCTTCTTTTCTAGAAAAATGAACTCTGCAGAGAACTTTCCCCCCTCCTCCCCTAAGTGAGCATGCGTGAGTTTGTTTTGGGGATATTTGTGGAGAGAAGCTCTATATTGTTGGCTCTGTATGTTAACCAATTATTGCATCTTCATTGAACAAGTTTAGTTTTGACAGTAAATCAATATTTGTGTTTATTAAGAAACCAGGCGTTAAATCTTATTCTTTAAAAAGTGATACGATAAAGTATTTAATTTCATCCTGATAAGTGGGAAAAGTTTTTTTATTTTATGTTGTGACCTGTGGAGTATTGGGACTAGAGTGATAGTGCACTCCTCCAGCCTCAGACATAACAGGAGAGAGAACCAGAGGTAACATTTCAGTTCAATGGTCTTACCACTGATCTGATATGCGAACTCTGTTTCCGCATCTGCTGCCTAACCTGAATATATAGCATTTTCTGTTTTTATTTCTGTTTCCCACCTTTCACAGTACTTTGCTTTCATGTTAATTTGTTTTCTGTCAGGTTACCTAAGTAAGCAATCTAAATTCTTAATCTTTAGTTGCAGTGTTCATTTCTGTTGTCCTCTTTTGCGTTAGCTTTCTGCAAGTGCTTTCAGATCTTGTGATATTTAAGGGATGCTGTTGATCTCAGCTTTGAGTATAAAGCTGGAAACTTCCAGAGATCTACTTGGTATGGACTAGACCAAAACCTCTCAAAATATACTAAGAAGATAACCTAGATCCTAACTTTTTCTTATTTTAAAGGTAAGTGTTCCAGATGTGTTCCATTGCGTTCCAAATAGATTGATCAAACTACTCGACTTTAAGCAAAACACAGTTTTTTTTAGTTTTACACTACAGGTAAAATACAAACAAAATAAAAAGAAAACACTTGGCTTAATTGTAACTCTATCGAAATGCTTAAAAAACAGATGTGTTTACTACCAATAAAGTGCTCCCGTAAACACACCTTTGGAAAAGGCTATAAAATAGATTGTCTCACGCCCAATTTTAGTAGCGGGAAGAGAACCCCAGCATTTAGCTGTAACAGAGAGAGGAATAAGAGCTTCTACATTCAACTTCAAGACCCAGCATCTACTACTGAAAGCTAAAACAAAAATCCTGGTTCTGTGGGAGCTTGTCCCACCCATACATGCTGTTTGTATTGTTCCAACTTTTTTTAAAAAAAAGGACCTCACCAGCTGTTTATTTTATTAGCTTTGAGCAGATTGCTCAGCACCTCTGTCTCAACCTTTCTTCACAGAAAGAGGACAGAATACACCCCTTAAAGTCATAGTATCATTATGTAATGAAAAACAATATTTGATGCCCGCATGTTGTGAACGTGCCATCAGATTTCCAGTTTTAATAAGAATAGACCGTTCAGTAAGATTATAGCTGATCTGTACGTCTCATTAGCCTTTTTGAAAGATTTTGTTTAATGACTAAAACTGGAAAATTCTGGAGCTATTCACAGATAATATCTTGGAAGGTATTCTATGAATAAATCTTGCATTTAAAAGTATATATGTAATTAAGGTCAATAGATAGTTTAATACCATTCTTTGTTTACATCTGGTCCTTAGATTTATGAGATGGCCACTACTGAAAATGCGGACACAGAAAACAAAGAAGCAAAGCCAGCCAGCAATAAGATGCAATACCCATTAAAAGTACTCTATTGTGGAAGTAAGTTTGTCAGGAAAAAAAAAGTTGTTTTATGTGTTATGCATTAGAAGGTAACTATTTAAATAGAGTCCAAGTCCACACATTTAGTGAGAGTTTTATTTTAATTAAAATGACATTCCATAACATTCGCACCTCACTGCTTACTAATTCCCCATATTTTCCAACTAGTTCTTGAGTAGATGATATTTCATCACCTATTCCCTCATTCCATTTAGGTCCCAAACATTCCTTGAAAGGTAACACATGCTCTATAGTACAAATGTAGTTAGAGACTTGTTACTTTTATACAACAGTTTACTGCAATACAAAAAATTAATTGTTCTACTGATAGTATAAGCCTTTTCAAAAAAAATTCCCCCTTTTTTTAATTCTCTTGTGGGAGGTAGGCATTACTGGCTGGCCAGCATTTATTGGCAGTCGTAGTAACTTCCAGTTACTTCTGCTATTAAAGTCATTATTTTTACATCTAATGGGAAATCGTTCTACATTGTCAAGTAGCCTTTAGCAGCCCTCAAGACTGTAGATTTGTGCCTTAAACTTACCTGTCACTCCACTCACAAGTAGGAAGATCCCAGGCATCCGGCTCCAAGACAGACCTATGTGAGTTGATTGAACAGATTCATGAAGATTTGAATGATTTAGTCACAGAATTTTCCACTGTTTCTAAAAGACAGTCCTACATGGCAGATAGATGATCACAATTAACTGGAAGTTATTTAAAGTAAATTTAATCAGTTTACTGAGTAATGGGTGAAAGTGCAGTGTCGTATTCCAGGGGGTTGGCGATGAAAATGTGACCTTGTTCCACTTTGGAGCATTTGGTGTATTCTCTCTCAGCTAGATTCATGGAAGAGTTTATAGCTCAGATATCCTTTCTGTATTGGTTGGAGGAAGATTATAGGAAGAGAAACAAAATGGAAAAGATATTGAGCACCTTAACTATTACATAAAGCAAATCCAAAGAAGAACCAAGTTAAAGGCAGCTATTTAACTCTCAATAGAATCAGGTAAGTTGAATTGAACATGTTCCGCCAAGAAATGAATGCTTTTTATCTTTTTTTAATAATGTACTGAATGCCAAAAGCTTAATGCTTGAGCCAAAGTGAAGCGTGAAGTGGATCAATGGAGTTTTCACATTAGCTTGCTAACAATATGGTATGTGAGTTAGAATGTCTTTGCATTTATAATCAGAGGTTAAAAAAAACACCCACTTTGCTCACAAAAGTGATTGTTTACACTGTTATATACTAGCTCTTTTCACATCACTCAACACCAGTTCTAAACAAAATGTTAAAAGCTATAATTCTATTAAATTAAAGTATCCGGGAAGTTGACTTAATAAGTCAGTAGTCTGCATGATCCAATCCTGAATTAAACCTGGAGTTGAGGGCTTTTTGTCTTTTAAAATGCTTTTGCTGATAGTTTTTATAGTTATTTTTAATATGCATATATTGTTAATTTTTTTAGTCAATTTAGTTAATTGCTGTAATTGTATGCAAATACTTTTCAGCTCTTTGCTTTTTTTTTACCTATTCTGAAATTTCAGAAAATTAAGTTTTTGGCTGAAAATATGCTTATTTTTGTTAATTGTCCTGAAAAAAATTTTTTTTTTCTTTCCTTTTTTTTCCAGTCTGTTCATTGCCAACAGAGGTAAGTGCCTTTACCTTCGTGATTATCTTCTCCCCTTTTGTATTTCTTTCATTTTATTTTGATTGAAATAGATTGCATGTCAGTTACGGGACATATTTAAGCTTTGCTTAATTTAAGTGCTATCCGTGCATGGGACTGGACAGTTTATCAACGTCACAGATGTAATACCTGAATGTTAGAAAGTGAAGTATAAGAAGTACTTTTAAGTCCATTCTTCACCCCATCTTTAAATTTAATTTTAAAATGAAAATTATTGCCTCAGTAATAGTTAATGCTTAGTGACATTGCATCTTATAGAAATTACTTACTTTCCGTTTTGTGCTCGCTAGGCAATCATTCAGTTTATGCTAATTAAGACATGCAGCAGTGAATAATTCAATGGTTAATAACTCAGTCTTGAAGAAACGTCTGAAAGGAGGGGCTCTTGTGGCGTGATGGTAGTGTCCCTGCCTCTGAGCCAGGAGGCCCAGGTTAAAATCCCACTTGCTCCAGATGTGTTTCATAACATCCCTAAACAGGTTGATTAGAAATTAATTGTCCTTGCCATGAAGTGTACAGTTGAGTACCACAGGGTACACAGATATTTGCAAGTTGGAATATTTAGACACTAGTACTCAAGATAAGGAAAAGAAAACACAGACCATTAAAGTCAGTCAGACGTTGCACCTTCATGAGTCAGATCTTCCATTCAGTATGTATTTATCAGCTTTGTGCTGTATGTAGGGAATGTGAAACATTGAGTGTCTGCAGAAGAAGGCAAATTGTACTTTTTTAAAATATCTCTATTTTTAGTTGCCATGATTTTGGGGGAGCTGGTGTTGACCGTACAAGTTGTTCTTTTGTACACTCAGCTCCTTTTCATGATTTACAAATGTTCAGTTTTAATAAGCTTGAGATTGTGTATGTATAAATTATACTATAACACAATCCAATATATGGGTATGGTTTATATCCCAATCAAGAGGCAAAGGCAATTAATTCATTTCTGGGATATGGGCATTGCTGATTCGGCCAGCATTTATTGTCTATCCTTAGTGGTCTCTGAGACGATGGTGGTGAGCTACATTTTGAACAGCTACAATCCACTTGATTTAGGTAGCCCACAACGCTGTCAGGCAAGGAGTCCCAGAATTTTGACCCAGTGACACATCAAGAAGGATGATTTATTTCCAAGACAGGATGGCGAGTAGCTTAAAGAGGAACTTGTAGTTCGTGGTCTTCCCATGTATTTACTGCCCTTGTCCTTCTTGGTGGTAATGGTTGCGGGCTTGAAAAGTGCTGCCTGAGGAGCCTAAGGGAATTTCTACAATGCATCTTGTAGACGATACACACTGCTGCTGCAGACCGTCAGTGGTGGAGGGACTGAATATTTGTGAATGTAGAGTTAATCAAGCGTGGTGTCATGCTTCTTGAGTGTTGCAGGAGCAGTTCTCATCCCTGGAGAGAAATACGTAACACTCCTGACTTGTGCTTAGTAGATGGTGGACAGATTTGGGAAGTCAGGAGGCAAATTGCTTACTGCAGGATCTCTAGCCTATGACCTCTTGTAGCTACAGCATTTACGTGACAATTCTATCCAGTTCAGTTTCTGGTCAGTGGGCACCTCTGTGACGTTGATAGTAAGGGTTTCAGTGAAAGTAGTGCTGAAAGTTTTTGAGAAGGTTTGTAGCTCAGGTTGTGGATGAGGTTGTAGACTTGCTCGCCGAGCCAGTGTGTTTGATTGCAGATGTTTCATCACCCTGCTAGGTAACATCACCAGTGCACCTCCGGTGAAGCGTTGGTGTTCTGTCCCGCTTGTTATTTATATGCTTCAGTTTGCTAGGGTGGTTGGTATCCCTTCCGATTCTGTTCTTCAGTGGCTTGTACATCGGTTCCAGTTCAGTGTGTTTGTTGACGGAGTTCCAGGTGGAATGCCAGGCCTCTAGGAATTCCCGGGCATGTCTCTATTTGGCTTGTGCTATTATGGATGTGTTGTCCCACTTGAATTCATGCTCTTCTTTGGTCCATGCTTCACCAGAAGCTTACTGATGATGTTACCTAGCAAGGTGACGAAACGTCTGTAATCAAGTGGACCAGTTCAGCGAGCAAGTCTGCAGCCTCAAAGTAGTGCCATTGAATGCCATGGGGTGACTGTTAGACTCTCTTGTTGGAGATGGTTATCAGCTGGTACTTGGGTGGCATAAATGTTACTTGCCACTTTTCAGCCCAAAGCTGGATGCGTTTCAACATGGCCTACTTCAGTATCTGAGGAGTCACAAATGATGCTGAACATTGATGGCTGCACAATGAACATCCCACTTCTGACCTTATAATGGAGTGAAAGTCTTTGAAGCAGCTGAAGATGGTTGGTCCCAGGACACTACCCTGAGGAACTCCTGCACAAATGTCCTGGAACTCAGATGACTGACCTCCGATAACCACAACCAAGTTCTTTTGGGCTCGGTGTGATCCCAACCAGCAGAGTGTTTTCCACCTGCCAATTCCCATTGACTTTATCTTGCTCGGGGTATTTGATGTCACAGTCTGCAACCTTGATATCAAAGGCAGTCACTGTCCTGTCACCTCTGGAATTTGGCTGTTTTGTCCATTAGTTTGAGCCAAGTCAGTAATGAGGTCAGGAGTTGAGTGGCCTTGAGAGGCCCTGAGTGTCCTTACCATAACTGAACACCAGTAAACAAATTATTGTTGAGTCACTGTCACACACCATCCACCACTTTCATTGAGAATAGGCTGATTTGGGTTTGTCCTGCATTTTGTGTACGGGGCAATTTACAACATTGCTGGCTAGATGTCAGTGTTGTAACTATGCTAACAGTTTAGCTAGGGCTGTGATTAGTTCTGGAACATTAGTACTATTGCCAGAATGATGTCAGGGCCATAACATTCGCAGTTCCAGTTCCGTTAACCGTTTCTTGACATCAGGTGACATGAATTGAATTGGCTGAAGGTAGTGATTCTGGAAGAAGGCCGAGATCTATTGTCCGCTTAGGACTTCTGGCTGTAGGTGCTCAAATGCCTTATCTTTCGCACTGATGTGCTCAGCTCTCTGCATTGAGGATGGTGATATTTCTGGAGCTTCCTCCTCCAGTGAATTGTTTAATTGTCCACCACGGTCCATGATTGGATGTGGCAGGTCTGCAGAGGTAAGGTCAGAGACTTTTTAGCAATTGAATGGTCTACTGGGCCATTTTGGAGGGCAATTAAGAGTTCCTTAACAAACATTTGTGAACCAAGTGGGTTTTTATGATAATTAATATTCATCATTAGACTTTTAATTGTATTTAGATTCAGGTTTGAGCATTGAGCAATAGTACTGCTACGGTATTGCTTTGGTGATCTTAAAATCATTGTCAATACTTCTATAAAACACCACCATCACTAGTGGCCTTTTAGGGAAAGAAATCTGAATTTAGCCAGCCTGGCTTACATGTGATTCCAGACTCGTTGCACTGTGGTGTCTTAACTGCCTTCTGAAATGACCTAGTGTAAGCCATTCAGTTCTATCAAATGTTGAAAAGTCTCAAAAACGGAATGAAACTGGTTCAATCACCTGATATTCTCTCAAGCGCGGGAAATGGCAACACCAAACTCAGCCCTATCAAGCCTGCAAATTCCTCCATACCAACATCTGAGGGCTAGTGCCAAAGTTGGGAAAACTGTCTCTCAAAGTAGTCAAGCAACGGCCTGCCAGTCATATTCATGAAATAATGCTTGTAGACCATGTCTGACAACACCATCACCATCCCTGGGTATGGGTTGGCAGGATAGACCCAAAGGCGGTGTCACAATAGTATAAGTGAGGATGGAGTTGTCCTGTACATCTTCAACACTGAATCCAAGCCCATGAAATTTCAGGCATCAGACCAAACATGGGCAAGGTAATTCTGCTGACTACTAAGTACTGTCTCACCACAGCTGCTGCCTCCGTATCCTTCATGTTAACCAGTACTCCTTCATATTGAACATCACTTAGAAGAAGAACTGAGGGTGGCAAGGGCACAGAATGAACTCGGAGAGGGATTCAGTGTCCATCACCAACATTGAGTCACTACTGAATGAGCTGGTCCAGTCCTAAAGGACATTGCTGTTAGACCTGGGTCTGTAGCTAACAATGAGAAAAGCAACAAGAGGGAAAAACTTACTTGACCTAATCTTCTCAAATCTGCATGCCACAGATGACTCTGTCCATGACAGTAATGGTAGAGAGTTGTGTGACACTATCACTGTCCTAAATGGTATAGACTTCAAACAGATCTAGCAACTCAAGACTGGGAATCTGAGGCACTGTGGGAAATAAGCAGCAACAGAGTTGTTCTTGAACACAATCTACAACCTCATAGTCTGCCAATTCCTCTGTTATACCATTGCCATCAAACCAGGAGATTAAATTTGGTTCAGTGAAGACTACAGGTTGACATGCCAGGAATAGAGCCACACATAGTCCCTCTTGACATTCAGTGGTATTCCCATCCTTAAGATCTTAAGGGTTGCCAGTGACCAGAAATGAAATAGACATGTAAATACTGTGGCGGCAAGTGCACATCAGAAACCAGGAACCCTGCAGAGAGAGAGTAACTCCCCTCCTTACTCTCCAAAGCCTGTCCAAGAACCACAAGTCAGAGGTGTGACGAAAACCTTCCAAACCCATATCACTACTATCTAAAAAGACATGGCAACAGAACACTATCTTCTGCAAGTTCCCCTTCAAGCCATTCACCATCCAAACTTGAAACTATATCCCCATTCATTCAGTCTTGTTAGGCCACAGTCCTGGAACTCCTACACTGACAACATTGTAGGTGTATCTACACCATATGGATTAAGTGGTTTAAGGAGGCAGATTATCATTATTTTCTGAAGATCAACTAGCGATGGGCAATAAATGCGGTCTCGGCCAGTGATGCCCACACCCATGAATAGATTTTTAAAATTAAAATTGCAACCACTGCAGTTTTCTAATTTTATTTTCTTTAATCAGCTTAGTAACACTGTTGTGAATTAATATTGATGTATATTATCTCTTCCACTAGAGGCCAGCAGTATACCTTTGAACAGCTTGCTGAGAAAATAGTTTTCAGAGATATTTAAAATCAAAAGAACTGAGGATGCTGTAAATTAGAAATAAGCACAGCAATTGCTGGAAAAGCTCAGCAGGTCTGGCAGCATCTGTGAAGAGAAATCATGGTTAACGTTTCGAGTCTGGTGACTGACTTCCTGAGAACTGGGGAAGTTCTGAGGAAGGGTCACCGGACCTGAAACATTTACCCTGATTTTCCTTCACAGATGCTGCCAGACCTGCTGAGCTTTTCTAGCAATATCTGTGCTTATTCAGAGATGTTATTACACACCTCTTGAACAAGTGGGACTTGAACCTGGCTGAAAGGTACGGATACCACCACTGCACCACAAGAGACACCTTTTAAATCTTCGACCATTTGGATAGTAGCAGCTCAAGTGGGATCTTGCCTGCTTTGATCATGGAAACTTCTGTGTGACTCAAACTGAGATGGCAGATATTTCCAAAATTTGAGAGAACTGTACTAAATGATGAAAGAAGGGATGACTTATTTAAATGTTCAATATTCATAAAAGAAATAACAGGAATCCCAATTGTAGCCTGATATTTTGTTGCTTTGGGCCAAATGATACGTTACTGTGCTGTTGGCTGTTCTGTTTCTGTTTCTGTCACAGATTCCTGTTTGGCTTAACGGGGAAACTGATAGTAAATATTTTAATGAGTTTTATTCAAAACTATATAAGATCAAAAAGGAAAACCAACTGAGCTTAAATGGTTTTTGAGTATTAATTGCCATACATTCTGACTCCTTTTCCAGACGTGAACTAAATAACTGATGCTGCAGCAAGGTCTTGGCCCATAGGCCTCATATGTGACATAAAAGTATTGACATAATTTGCAACTCCAGTCTTGATGATGAGCTATAGGACAATGTAGCACTTGGTCTGATGTACTACGCTGATGGCAGGCCAACATTTACTATTTTTTTTTCGTCACTTAGTAAAACTTAATGGCTTGTGTACATAATTCTTCCTTCAGCATTTGTCATGGCAGACAGAAGGAAACACACTGCCTCAAAGGGAATCATTGACTAACTCAATTATGTTCTTTGAGTAATTACGTATATGTGCTTTCTTACAGTATTGTGAATACATGCCCCAATATACCAAGTGCAGACAATGGCTGGAAAAGAATTGCCCAGAGGAATTTGCAAAACTCAGTATAGGTAACAAAAAAAAAACTCTTCCATATTTTTCAGTCTCGAGGAACAATGCTTTAAGGATACGAGGCTACGGAATTAAGTTCATGCTGTAATTTATACTGGAACATTATTTCCTACCTTCTTCTTTAATGGTGTGTATGTATATGGTATCTGCTAATGAAGTGTTAATAGTTAAGCACAATACTCTCCTGCAATTTTGATACATTTATACATTTGATACATTTGGCTGTGGCCAAACTGTCTCCAGTTCCAATTGCATGTTGTTCTAGCTTTAAAAAGGAAGTAGTGATATAAATGGCAGACATGAAAAAAGCAGCTTATCTATTGACTCAGCTCTTCTGACATAATGCATTTGAGCATCATGATGTGCAGTGCAACCACACCCCCTCAACACACACATAGCCATGTAATGTCTTATTTTTCTAATTGCTAACAGTTTGTATTAAAAAGAGGATGAGGATAACACAGTATATTTTACAGTCTGTTACTACTTAAGAGCATGGCACCAGGATTGAAATGTCTAGTAAGTGATGGTGTAGTCAAACACACAATGCTTGCATAATTTAGAGAATATTGCACTTCTGATTCAGAATAACTATTCTTTGTTTTATATGTACAGTAATGTGAATCCTAATATTAATTGTTCAGAAACTACCTGGTCACTTGCCAGAGAATGTTTTTTTTCAAGTGTTGCTTATGGAATTAACTGTGAACGCTGTCTTTAATCCAACCACAAGATTGAAGCTTTGCTGGGGAATGTTTTACAGCACCTCTTGCCAGGACGTCTTTTGTCATGGAAAGCCACATTCTTCTGTCTTCTTGCATCCTCATACATCCATGGTAGCTTAGATGCAACCATTCTTACATTTGTCATCCATTCACACCTAAGTTGACCTATCTTTCCACTGCCCTTTACTTTGCCTTCCAGAAGAGATCTCTGCAGGTTTTCAGATCAAATGGCAGAAGTACTGATACTGATACATTCTTTTCTGGACTTTTTTTAGCTCTTGCAATTTCAGTACCTCTTTGTTTCTTTTATTGTCTATATATTGAATTTTTAATTTGCATTTTAGCATCCACATTTTGGAGGTCTTTATACAAACATAGGAATTAGGAGCAGGAGTTAAGCACTCAGCACCTCAAGCCATTCAGTGAGATCATGGTTGATTTGATTACTCCATGGTTAGCTGTTAGTTTTCACTTTAAATGGGATTTCACCAAGCTATGCATTTTTTTTTTATAAAACAGATCAAAGCCCCCAACAAGATGCAGGAGGGGGGGAACCGCCAGCTGGAGAGGAAGAAGAAAAAAAGAAACAAAGACGAGGTTGCTGTGTCCTTATTTTAAATATTCATGGAATTGTTTGGTAATACCAACCTACAAAAGGCACTTTGTCAAAGCTTTTTGTCTTGCATTCATCACAACAATTTGCAAGAAATACCAATCTAAAGAAAAATCAACCTTTTTATAGTGTATGAGAAGAGAATGCTGATTTGGTTGGCAAGCAGACTCCAATTGGTAGAGTCATTGCCTTGGAGAATATAGCAGTTAAATAATGTCAGACAGTTAACTGCCAAGTTTTGTTTAAATTATAAAACAGGCAGGTTGACACTGGTTAAGACATTGCCCACGAAGTGAACCAGAGACTTCTTTAACAAGGTTCCATATGGTGAACTGGTTAGTAAAGTTAGATCACGTGGGGACAGTAAGGACTGCAAATGCTGGAAGCTAGAGTCAATAAATGTGGAGCTGGGAAAGCACAGCCAGTCAGACAGCATCCGAGGAGCAGGAAAGTCAACATTTCGGGCCAAAACCCTTCAGGACTGTGTTGGGGGAGGGGAGCCCAGAAATAAATGGAATAGGTGGGGTTGGGTGAGAGTAGGTGAGATGGAGACAGGTGGACACTGGTAGGGGATGATTTTGGTTGGTCAGTGGGAAGGGTGGAGCGGATAGATGAGAAGGAAGACAGACAGGTTGGGGGTGGAGAGATTTTGAAGCTGGTGAACTCAATACTCAGGTCATTGGGCTGTAAGTTTCCAAGGTGAAATATGAGGTGTTGTTCCTCCAGTTTACTTTTGGCCTCACTCTGATAGTGGAGGAGGGCAAGGATGGACATGTCACCGAGGAGTGGGAGGAGGAGTTGAAGTGGACGGCAACCGGAAGGTCGGGCTGGTTGCTGCATGCAGAGTGCAGGTGCTCTGCAAACCGGTCCCCGAATCTGCTTTTGGCCTCCCCGATATGGAGGAGATGGTATCTGGAGCAACAGATACGGTAGATGAAGTACAAGTGAATCTCTGCTGGATTTGGAAGGATTGTTTGGGGCTTCGGACGGAGGTGAGAGAGGAGGTTTAGGAGCAGGTGTAGCACCTACTGCGGTTGCAGGGAAAGGTACTGGGTGTGGTGGAGCTGACGAGGGAGTCACGGAATGAATGGTCCCTGTGCAAAGTGGACAAGGGTGGGGAGGGAAATATCTTTTTGCTGATAGGGTCTGATTATAGGTGGCTGAAATGTCGGAGGGTGATGTGTTGTATTGGAGGTTGGTGGGGTGGAATGTGAGGACCAAGGGGACTCTATCTTTATTGTTGTTGGTGGTGGTAGTGGGGGTGGGGTAGTGGAGGGTTTGAAGGCAGAACCACAGGAAGTGGGGGAGATGCGGTTGAGGAAGGTAATGCGAAGGTTAGAATGAACAGTTCTCCCCACTATACAACCCAAACGCTGGGTCCGCTATGTAGATGACACGTTTGTGATTATCAAACACACAAGACTAGAAGAAACCCACTGACACATAAACAACATCCTCACCGGAATAAAATTCACAAAAGAAGAGAACAATAACCGACTACCTTTCCTAGACATAATTGTAGAACGTAAGAACAACGGGGAACTCCAGACTAGGAATTAAAAAAACCACACGTACGGACCAGATACTTAATTACACCAGCAACCACCCCAACACCCATAAATGGAGCTGCATCAGGACATTATTCAAACGAGCCACAACACACTGCAGCAACCTGGAATTGCGCAAAGCAGAACAGGAATGCTTACATGGAATTTTTAAAAGGAAAGGATACCCAAAAAGCACAATCCGCTGTTACCTCCGTGACAGACCACAACAAGTAGACACAACACAGGCAGACACACTAGTCATCCTACCATACATCAGGGACATATCAGAGATGACCACAAGACTACTCAGACCCCTAGGTATCAGGGTAGCCCAAAAACCAACAACCACGCTGTGACGGCTACTTACAAACCTAAAGGATCCCATAACCACAACCAATAAAACTAATGTAATATACAAAATACCATGCAAGGACTGTGAGAAACATTATATAGGCCAAACTGGAAGAAAACTGAAAATAAGGATATATGGACACCAAGAGATACACCCAATTCTCGCTGGTCTCAGTACAGACGGACAAAGAAGGACACGAATTCGACTGGGACAACACATCCATAATAACACTAGCCAAATAGAGACATGCCAGAGAATTCCTGGAGGCCTGGCCTTCAAACCGGAACTCCATCAACAAACACATTGAAGCAGACCCAATCTATAAACCACTGAAGAACAGAACCGGAAGTGATGCCAACCATCCCAACAAACAGAGACATACAAATAACAAGTAGGACAGATCACTAATGCTTCACCAGAGACGCACTGACGATGTTACCTAGCAGGGTGACGAAACATCTGCAACCAAACACACCGGCTCGGCAAGCAAGTCCACAACTTAAACCATAACCTGAGCTACAAATCTTATCAAAAACTTTAAACTGGCAGATGGAGTTTAATTTGGATAAAAGTAAGGTGTTACATTTTAGTAAAACAAACAAGGGAGAACTTATACAGTTAATGGTAGGGCCTCGGGAAGTGTTGTCGAACAGAGAGTCCTAGGGGTTCAGGTACACCGTTCTTTGGAAGTTGCATCATGGATAGACAGGGTGGTGAAGGAGGTGTTTGGCAACTTGTCTTCATTGCTGAGACCTTTGCGAGTACAGGGGTTGGGATGTCATGTTGTACAGGACATTGGTGAGACCACTTTGGAGTACTGGGTACAGTTCTAATTGCCGTGCAATAGGAAGGATATTATTAATTCGGACAGGGTTCAGAAAAGATTTACAAGGATGTTACCAGGACTGGAGGATTTGAGTTACAAGGAGAGGGTGAGATCTTTTTCACTGGAGCGTAGAAGGCTGAGGAGTGACCTTCTAAGATCACAAGGGTCTTTTCCCTAGCGTGAGGGAGTTCAAAATGAGAAGGCATATTTTTAAGATGAGAGGAGAAAGATTTAAAAAGGACCTGAGAGGCAACTTTTTTCTCACAAAGTGTGGTTCATATGTGGAATGAACTGCCAGATGAAGTGGTAGATGCAGGTACAGTTACAACAGGTATACAGTAGGAAAGATTTAGAGGCATATGGGCCAAATGTAGGCAAATGGGACTAATTTATTTTGGGAAACTTGGTTGGCATGGACAAGTTGGACTGAAGAGTCTGTTTCCATGCTGTATGACTCTTATTGAAGTTAGTTTCGTGATATGCCATTTGAAATCTGCCAGTCTTTGGAACGTATAGCCTCCATAAAGAACTGAAATTGTTGTATCACTTCATTCATTTGTGTTATAGGTAGATAGCCTTTATGGCTTGACAGCAACACTCTCTTACTCATGGACACCACTTGTTTTGTACTGCATGGTAACAGCATGAAAAAGCTAGCTTCAGTGTTGTTCAAACTTGTGATAGGACCTGAAGTGATACAATGATGCCTAGAAAAGTGCCAAATCCACCTCCAAATACTCTGTAAGGTCTCTTAAAAGTTTGAGCTATTATACAGTAACTACACAAGAGGTGTTCACCACTAACAGGATGTTGCCATCAAGCCAAAAAGACATTTTGTCCATCATGCAAATGTGTAATATGACGTATGAATTTCAGAGTCAGTGTGATGCTAGATATGGAGGCCATACGTCACAAAGACTGGCAGGCTATATCAAACGGCATACCCCTTTGGCTGTTGTAAAGAGCCGATGTACTGACTACCCAATCAGCACATGCTTACAAAACTCTCAACACTGTTCAACATTTGATGTGATTTGGTAATTGAACAATATTTACTAAATAATCCTGGCTGTGCTGAGAATTATGCTGGCAATCATTTTAGAATCGTCAGTAAGACTTATAATGAGGCATACTCTAATACAGGAAGCTACATGTGCTAACACACAGTTCTTTGCAGACAGAAAGAACATGTATGCACACTGCTCCTGTTTTGTTGAGTTGAAACAGGCACAACTATTCTCTGGATCATTTCTCAGGGCCACACTTCTACCAGTCAGAGTCCATTTGCAATTGTGAGCCAATTGGCACGCTATTCTAATAGAGTATAAATATTGGTTTCCCTTTACATTGGTATTTCTAGCAAATTGTCGTGATGAGTGCAAAATGAAAAGCTTTAACAAAATGTATTTTCATTTCAGCCATACTTGTATTTCCATAACTTAACAGCTTGATTTCTGGGAACAAACGGGAATCAACACTCCATCCTCATTAGCCATAGAAGCTAATGTTAAATAAAATGTACTTGCCTTTTAAGCAATTCTTTAAATCTATATTCACCAAGTAACTGTCACATTAGCTTGGATTTGTGAAAAGTATGCGATGCTTAGTAATGGCAGTGAGATACAAATAATGGTTGCTGAGTGAGAGGGAAATTTTAAGACCAGCATCGTGCTTGTTTGTGTAGAAGATCACTTTCTTAATTTGTAAGTAATTTGAAATATCCACTGAACTTAGTTGTAATCATCCACTGAAAAATATTTAACCGTTTTAAATATGTTCCGCCATGTTTATAGATTAACACCTTCTATGAGGCACTATTTCATCCTATTAAATTATTTACAGATTCCAAGTACTCTGTGTTTCTACTGTCTGCATTCCAGACTTCTTTCATTTCATCCTCGCTTTGGTTGCACAGACCTAACTGAACAAACCTAATGTACCAAAGAGGGTCTCTGAGCTTCAATAACTAGGAAACCACCACTAATTTGTGCAAATGTTAGTAACTGCTGGTTATTTACAAATTTAAATAGTTTGCCTTGGAATTAAAAGCCACCCATTTCTACAGCTGCTATGGTTTCCTGTGAGATACCACTGCAATTATGTTAACCCTTAGAAGACTGCAAAACATGTCTGCAAAACAATACTTGTGAAGAGAACAATTTTGAAGGAAACATTTTAGATTTCCACGTAATTGTATTCCGTACATTTTTTTTTTGCCCCTGGAAGTGTTGACTCCTTGCTGAGATACAATTCCTTGTATAGACTTCCTCCAATACATTTCCCAAGTGACATTAGTTCATAAGGAAGCCTAAATAGTGAATGTTGACTGCTCAAGATTGCCATCAAAGTCAGCCTATTACTGCTGTCACCTAACAACCAGACTTAAACACTTCCACAGCATTGTAAGCAGAAATGGGAAGTCTTCACCAATTTCACTCCTTTGTTCCAAAGCCACTATAGTAGTTGTATCATTTTCCTGACTTAAACTTAACTGTGGGCCCTTTTGCATCTGCCTAATTGCATAAACTTGCTGAGGCATAACTGATGCATTCAAACAAGTTTTGTATCAAGTATGTATGCTCATTTATTTATTGTCATATGTATTTTGCTACAAAATACAGTGAAAAGTATTGTACAGTGTTGCCACTCTCTGGCGCCATCTGAAAACACAGGAAAATAAACCAAAACATTGAACACAAAGTCAGAAAAATAAAGAAATAGTGTTCAACTTTACAGTCCTTTTTATTAAGTGCTCCGCCATGGGCCTGGTGGCCAGCTACGAGATTCCTTCGCTTCGCTGCCACTGTTGGAGCAGGAGTCACCACTCTTCAGCGTCATCTCGCTTCCACTGACATCCTTGCTGGACCTCACCAATGCAGCCGCCACTGATGCCACCATGGACTACACTGGCCCAAACGCAGGCTACTTAACTAGTCAATAATTTTGAGAATTACCCAAGTTACCAGTGTACACACAAATCTTGCTAACCCATTTTGGGACTGCACAACAACCTTGCACAATGAATTACCTTTACAGCTTTACTTAGATGTCATAATCTTGCTTAATATATGATGAGCACAATTTAGGTCACACATAATGGTAGTAACAAGGTATATAACTTAAAATTTCAAATGAAGATATAGAACATACTTTCATATTCTGTGAATATTTCAAATTTAGTTATGAATTTAGAGGAGTGATCTACACCAACAAGCACATTATGGTCTTAAAATTTCCCTCTCAATCAGCAACCATTATGTGTCACTCACTGCCATTACTAAGTGTCACATACCTTTCACAAATCCAAGCTAATGTGACAGGTGCTTGGTGAATTTAGAATCGTAAAAATGCTTAAAAGACAAGTGCATCTCAAACGTATGTCAGACTTGCTTTGTATGCTTGTTAAATTACTATGTGTGATCTGTTCATATAAGAGTAGAATAGCCCAAGGAATTATCTTCAGTTTTGCCAAATATGTTGTTTTCCTTTAGGTGGCCGAGGCATAATTAAACAAAAAAAGAAGACAGCACCCCAAAAGGTTACAATAGCTAAAATTCCAAGAGCAAAAAAGAAATATGTAACTAGAGTATGTGGCCTTGCAACTTTTGGCAAGTATTTACTCTTTTCTCTTGTTGACCTCTTAATTTTTCTTGCATTGTGGAGGGTGTGAAAAATGTGGATTGGGGACATTTCATGGATAGAATTCTTTTCTATTTATTATGGTTTGTTGCTCCCCAGTCACAACACGAGTGATGCATCTTGTAACTATTTAATTTGGAGCAGACAAACGGACTCATGTAAATTACATTGCCAGATAAAATGGGTGTACTTAATCCTCACTTTGTTGTTCTGAATCTGGAACATAAATTTGGTTGATACCATTACTGATGGATCTCTTTTGTATTAACAGAGATCGAACTAAAAGAAGCACAGAGATTCTTTGCTCAAAAGTTTTCCTGTGGAGCATCAGTTACAGGAGAAGATGAAATCACGATTCAGGGTGATGTTACAGATGATATTCTGGATGTTATTCAAGAAAAATGGCCAGAGGTAAGACTGTGAAAGACCAGTTTGTCTGCGACTACCATAATTAGTGCTTGTAATTCCCAACTTTGCACAAGTTGAATGTGAGGTACAGAAAAATTTCTGCATACATCATTCAGGGTACAATTTTCCCAACTATTATTCAGAATCGGTGTGCTTTCCTGTGTGACTAGAAGCAGATATTTCAAAAATAGGAAAGAGAATTTCAAATTGAAAGAACAATTGGCTGCTTCATTTTACATTAGAGAATAAAACTTACTTTAGAGACTAAGCCCAAGAAATTGGGTAAGTACACTATTTGGTTTATTATGTGTAGTAATTATTAATTATTTACAAAATATGTAGATTTTATCAGTACAAATTTTTATTTTCTTTTGACAAAAGAAAAGCTGGAAAATAAATTTTCTTATTTTGAGGGAGCTATTTTCAACTAGGAGCTAGATACTCGGGGGTGAAAACTGAGAAAGATGCAATTGTAAAAAGCCTGAGGATTAGCTTAAATAATTGACCTAGGAAGGCCATGCAGTTGTACCATGTGATCTTAATCATGTATAGGAATGTACAAAAGCAGAATACTATTGATGCTGGAAATCTGAAATAAAAACAGAAAATGCTGGGAATATTCAGATCTGGCATCTGAGACCTAGCATCAAAATTGATAAAAGGGGTGGGGGGAAACAGGGTGGAGGAAAGTGTGGTCATGGTATCTGTTGGTCATTGCACTTATAATAGATATTAGTTAACAATCATTCCACAAAGAAAGAAGTTGAGAAATTGAAGAGAATATTTTGGAGATGGAATGTGTGAAGCTGCGGGAAGAATGGTATTTGGCAGTAAGGTTGATGTTGATGAAACTTCCCACTCTAGAGAGAGAATAAGATATTCCACTGATTCACAGTCATTAATATACTGGGATAGTGGAAAGGAAGGAGAGAATGTTTCATGAAAAAGCAAGCATAGCTAGGGTTCATATGGGTTTGATGGTGATCCCTTATTGGAAGTAACTGAAGCATCAAAGGAGAAAGCACTTAAAAGATTCAGCCAGGCAGTGGAGGGTGTTGGGCAATGGCTGGGCCTATGTTCAAACAAACAGCAGAAGGACTGAAGGCTGCCCTAATGAGGGATAAAGTTGTGGGAAGACTGAATGTTCGTGGTGAAGAGGCAGTTAGGACCAAGAGTCTTAAGTTAGTAAGGCGCATCAGAAGAATTTCGGACACAGGTCAGTAGAGACTGAAGAAAGGAAGAACAAAGTAAGCGTTCTGAGGAAGGGACACTGGACCCAAAACGTTAACTGATTCTTTTCTTCACAGATGCTGCCAGACCTGCTGAGCTTTTCCGGCAACTTCTGTTTTCGTTTCTGATTTACAGCATCCGCAGTTCTTTCAGTTTTTATTGAGAACAAAGTAAAGTTCGACTTGCAAAGATTTTGCTTTGTGGGACATGAAGAGGCTGAAGCAATGGGTCTAGCTGAGCTGTGCTAATTGTGACTTTTGAAGGAGATCGAAGCAGGCAGTTCAGAATTGTAGGACTTGGGTCAGAAGCCATGTGTCCTGGCATGGAGAAGTGCAGGGTTGATCTCCGGAGGAGATGAGGTCAGCACCAGTCTGTAAAATGATGACTTGATATTTTGTGGAGTTATGACCCAGAGGGAAATGGGGAAAATGTGTCGGAGAGACATTGGTCAGGTGATGATCTATTCACCCTTGTTCACAATTTAAATGACAGTTTCTGGTTTGGACTGACAGAGCCCCCGCAGTTCGGAAGGATGACGGGAGCAGTGAATTTAACGTGCAGATTTAATTGTGCAGACTGTTCCCAGTGAAAAGATCAAAAGAAGATAAGAGGGCCGTGCGAAATGTCCAGGTTTGGGGGGGAAAAAAATTTCTGGAGAGGGGAGAAAAGACAAGGATTAGATTCCTGGTCCAGGCATAGAGGCAGAACTCTGCATTGTGCCGGGTCAAAATTCATTGAGGTGAGGTTGTTATCAGATGAAATTGAGGTTTTCCTGAAACATAAGTAACACTACAGAAAGTTAGTTAGTATAAATGAAACCGATACGTTATCTTCAGTCATCAAACCTGCTGCCAACCAAAGCAACAACTTCATCAATTGAGTTGTCATTTTATTTAAATGATTTGGATGTGAATGTAGGAGGTGATGACACCAAAATTGGTGGTGTGGTGTAGTGGACAGCAAAGAAGATTATCTCAGAGTACATGGGCACCTTGATCACCTTAATTGGATAGGCCAATGGGCTGAGAAGTGGCAGATGGAATTTAATTTAGATAAATGTGAGGTGATGCATTTTGGTAAGGCAAATCAGGGTAGGGCTTATACAGCTATGGTAAGGTCCTGGGGAGTGTTGCTGAACAAAAGAGACCTTGGGGTTCAGGATCATAGTTCCCTGAAAGTGGAGTCATGGGTAGACAGGGTAATGAAGAAGGTGTTTGGTACGCTTGCCTTTAATGGTCATTGCATTGAGTATAGGAGTTGGGATGTCATGTTGCGGTTGTGAAGGACAATGGTTAGGCCACATTTGGAATGCTGCATTCAATTCTGGTCTCCCTGCTGTAGGAAAGATGTGAGACTTGAAAGGGTTCAGAAAAGGTTTACAAGGTCATTGCCAGGGTTAGAGGGTTTGAGCTATAGGAAGAGGCTGAATAGATTGGGGCTGTTTTCCCTGGAGCATTGGAATCTGAAGGCTGACCTTAGAGGTTTATAAAATCACGAGAGGCATGGATAGGGTGAATAGCCAAGGTCTTTTCCCTAGGGTAGGGAGTCCAAAACTAGAGGGTATAGGTTTAAGGTGAGACCAGAAATATTTAAAAGGGATCTAAGGGGCAACATTTTCATGTAGAGTGAGAGTGCATGGAATGAGCTGCCAGAGGAGACGGTGGGGACTAGTATGGTTACAACATTTAAAAGGCATCTGGATGGGTATATGAATAGGAAAGGTTTAAAGGGATATGGGCCAAATGCTGGCAAATGGGACTAGTTTAGTTTGGGAAACTTGGTCGGTATGGACAAGTTGGAGCAAAGGGTTTGTTTTTGTGCTGTATGACTCTGACTGTGAGTATATAACAGTGATTAAAGGTGGCAGAACATTTTGTTTCTTGGTTATTTGGCTTCTCTGCATAACATAAGACTGAATGCAAAGTTGTTACTTCGTAATTTTTCTTGTGCTTTAAGTGGCTTCAATTTATTACTGTAGATTATTCTTGCAGGTGGATGATGATTCTATTGAAGATCTTGGCGAAGTGAAGAAGTGACCTAGTAGACTGCACTTTTATTGTTCAATTCAACTGGCAAAATAAATTTAGCCAAACAATAAAAAGGCTTTTTATTACAGACAACACCTTGAGTCAACTTCCTCAATGGATTTGAGGCTATTTTCTTGTACTTTGGTTGCCAAAGCTCCTGTGAAATTTCTGGATTATGTTTTAAGAAAAACCTTCTGTGCACTAAAGAAATCCCTAGTTTAATAAAATACCTGTTTTGATTGCTTGTGGATCATTATATTCGTGATTTGTTTTCACCTGAGTTTTCTATTCAACCTGTTGTTCTGTAACACATATCAGATAGCACAAGGATGTGAATTTTACTCATACATGAAATTGCAATAAATAAGGATGCGTTAACCCTTTTAATAAAATTCTTGTCCTGTGGGAGTTTAATCACTCTTTCACTGAGAATCACTCAAAAGAGTGAAATTAATTAATCACAGAACAAATAATCTTGAACTGTTAAATAAGCAGCTAACAACTGATACTGAGTGAAAGCCAAAAACCTGCCAGTTTTTGATATGGTGACCTACACAAAGAGGATATGGCATCATTGGAAGAAGGAACACATTTCTCATCAGAATCAATGACAAAGACATTTTTAAAAAAAATCAATTTCTGTGAGTATCACAGTTGTTGTTCTTCTGCCAAAGAGGCAAAAGACCTTTGAAACAGACAAAAAGCAACACAGGCGAGATGACAATGGCAGTCAATGCCTTATCCATGGAGCTTTCAGAATAGGGTGCACTGCTTCACCATCAGTGTTGAGTTTGTATGCTGCTCTCTTTAGCATTCTGCAGAATCACTCATCCAGTGACTATGTAATCAGATGACAGTGACAAAAATCCAAATGAAATCTCAGGCCAATTTGGGAGAAAAAAAGAATCCGATTGTCTCTGTCCCCTTTAGGTCATCAACAGTTCAGGAGGTTGCTTTAGGAATGATAACAGCTTGCGGTACTTAACATTTAAGTGATGATTTGATAAGGATGAGATGATTTCTGCCCCAGCCCAAAAATAAGTCCTGCATGCTGTTTAAAGAATTCAGTGAATCAGCTTCAACTTCAATCTGGCAGTCTGCTCCAGGAATCTAATTTCTGGAAGAAAAATACCTTCTGAAACTTAGCCTAGATCTGGCCTTTTACAAGTTAACGTTGAGAGCTCTGGTGCTCCCCAATGTATTGAAACAAGCTGTCAACTCGACCAGACCCTTTCTTTATCTTCTTCGAAACCACAATTAAATCAGCCCGCGGTATATGTTTTTGTGTTGACTCCCTGCTCTTTTGGCCTATCTTGATAGTTCTGATGTTGCAAACAAGTCACACTCTTCTACACTATTTCCAAAACCTCAATTGCACTCATCGTGAGAGATTAAAACACAATAGTATTCTAATTGATTTCGAACTGGGTCTTGTACAAAGAAAAAATTGGAATGTTTATAATCAATTACCCTATAAGTGGAGATGCTGGTATAGTGGTAATATAATGCCACTAAACCAGTAATCTAGTGGCCCAGGTTAATATTCTGGGACAAAGATTCAAATCCCACGATGGTATCTGGTGGAATTAAATTTCAGTTATTAAAATCTAGAACTGAAAACTAGTGTCAATAATGATGACCATGAAACTATCACCAATTGTCATGAAAATCCACCCGAGTAAAGTCCTTTAGGGAGGAGAATTTGCCATCCTCACCTGGGTCTGACCTATATATGACTCTTAACTATTCTAGAAAGCCAAGCAGCCCATGGGCAAAAATGCTGTCCTTATCAGCAATGCCAATATCCCATGAAGGAATAAATTAAATACACCTAACACACTATTTACTCTAGCTGCTACTTCATAACATTAGTAATGAACATTTTGCAATTTATGCACTGCAATGCCTAGATTCACACTGTTGGGAGAGGAGCAGAAGGTATAAAGTAGACGCATGAAAAATTTGAAGAAGATAAATAGATTCAAAACGTGCAGTCAGTGGTAGCTGACGGTGGAAATCCAGAGTGGGATCAGTTCCAGAATGAAGCAATCTGTAGAAAAAGAAGAAATGACTCGTATCAGAATGTTTTCATCATGTTCCTTTTACTATAGAGCACAACATCAGTAGTTTGTAAAACAAACACAATAACACTGGAGAATCAAGAATAGGACTTGACAGCATGATGCAGCAGTGTGTGAGGCTCCTTGAATTTGTCCAGTAATCTCATTGGTGATCTAAAGGTCACAGAAACATCCCTGTAGTGGGCTTCCTCATCTACCATCTTAATGACTACTTAGCAAATCAAACATATTTGTATGACGTGATGGAATACTTTCCACTTGCTTGGATGAATGTAGTTCCCAGAGCTTTTCTGCTTAAGACCAGAATTCAAAACTCGCCATTTTCCAATCTACAGAGTAACTTGACTGAACCCGCAAAATTACAACCCAACTCTGTTTCACTTCAGTTACTGGTTTTGCTTAATAATCTCAACATGAGATAGTAAATAAATACTTTAAAAAGACAATAAAGCTTGTCTAACCTAAAACAAATTCATGTTACTTTTCAAGATGTAAACCCATAAAGGGACAAACAACCAAACATTAGATAGTAAATAATGCATTAAAGAGTATGATGTTTTGGTTCTTAACAATATATTCTCTGATTTACAATGGCCATGCAAGATTCACTAGTAAGTACATCAATGCTTTTGGGTAATTTAGACTTTGTTGGTGGCGTGTTACAGCTCCCCCAGGAAGTCAAAGTTGCTGTAGCAACATGGACGTGCACTTTGTAGTCTGGGGCTATAAATAGTGATAATGGTGGCTGCAACACTCCTTCCATCATATGGCCGTTCAGGGTTCTGTTGTACTGTTACCACCTGCCATCAGCATATGTTGAAAGCAGTTGCAGGTGGATAATCTCTTTGGCCATGATATAAGTGCACATTCTTTGGCCAGCAAGTCCTGGGACTTAATGCAGAGCTTCTGGTTCAAAGGCAGGAATGCTACCCACTGTACCACACATCTAATCTAGACTTCATTTTAGATCTTTTAAGGATGGGTGCTTCTCAGCTACAACTTGAAATCAGCTAGCACATTCTGATCTGCAAAAGTCCCTGGTCAAATAACAAATAGGCTTCAGTGTCTGTGGTTCAGCTGTCAGGCTGTTACAGGCCACAAAGAGCTGAACTTCAGCAAAGGCCTAGTTCATATGGTAAACCATAGTTGGACCCAAAGGTATCTGTTAGTACTGGGAACCTACTCTCTTTTCATGAAGTAGACTTATTAAGAACTCAGGGAGTACATTAGGGCTAGATTTCATGATTCTGACCCCATCCTTCCACTTGTGAACATAGCCTTGGGATCCGCCACCTTAGAGTGGATGAATCTCACCATGTGCTCCAAGTGCATCCCTAGAACATACTCTTCCAAACTGTTCGTTCTTCTGACTGTGGTCTCTTGTCTATTCCCTAGCTTTCATTTCATGATTGGCAGCCAAGGACTTTTAACTGCATGTGGTCTGGAATTCCCTCCTGACAGCTTTCCTCCTTAAGGACCTTCCTGAACATCCACCTGATCATGCAAGTTATTAATCAAAACTCCTCATCATTTCACTTTGGCTTGTGAAGTACCCCCAGGTTTTTTTATGTTATAAGTATTGTATATTCAATTATTGCTGAGTGTATGAACCCTGCTCCAGATGCTAAGCATCCATATAAAACAGATGTGAGAGTGTGGGCAGGACAATTAGCCCAAGTCTGCCTTTCTTCCATAGTTAATTCAATTCCAGGTCTCACCAAAGAGGAAACCCATGGTGTCCACAGGGACACTTAAAATCCTTCGCAATCAGTGAGTACTAAAGAAGCTGGAGTGCATTATCCCTGCCCAAAATAATATTTTAATTTAATATTAAATTGCTTTCACCATTTGATTTTTGTTATAGTGTTCCTTTAAGAATGTTTATCTTTTTAAATTGACTTAATTGCCTTTAGTTAAATGGTTATCAAATGGATATAAAACAGATCCTGCTTACAAAATTCCTTGTTTAATGTAGGGCCATGTCCTGGAAGTATGCCTCTTTTGTACTTGTAATAGATACAACACAGTGTGGAGCTGGAGGAACACAGCAGGCCAGGCAGCATCAGAGGAGCAGGAAAGCTGAGGTTTCAGGTCGGGACCCTTCTTCAGAAATGGGGGAGGGGGAAGGGGGCTCTGAAATAAATAGAGGAGGGGTGAGGCTGGGAAAGGTCGGTGGGATGGTGATAGGTGAGTGCAGGGAGACAGTGGTGACAATTGGTCACTGAGGTGGGAGGAGCAGATAGGTGGGAGAGAAGATGGACAAGTTGTGTCAGGTCAAGGAGGTGGGGATGAGAGGGAGGGTTGGACATGGGATAGGCTTGCGGGTGGGGAGATTTTAAAACTGGTAAAGTCCACATTGAGACCATTGGGTTGTAGGCTTCCAAGGCGGAATGTAAGGTGCTCTGCTCCAGTTTGCGGTGGTGTCATTGTGACACCAGAGGAGGTCCAGGTTGGACATGTCATCCAGGGAGTGGGAGGGGGAGTTGAAATGGTCCACGACTGAAAGGTGTTGTCGTTTGTCACAAACAGAGCACAGGTGCTCTACAAAGTGGTCTCCGAGTTTCCGCTTGGTCTCACCGATGTACAGGAGGTCACATCGGGAGCAGCGGATGAGTAGACCAAATTGACGATGAGCAGATGAACCTCTGTCTAATGTGGAAGGTTTGTTTGGTGCCTGGAATGGAGGTGAGGGGGGAGGTGTAGGGGCAGGTGTAGCACCTCCTGCAGTTGTAGGGAAAGGTGTCGGGGCTAGTGGGAAGTGTGCAGCGGACTAGGGAGTCGCAGAGAGAGCGGTCCCTACAGAAGGCAGATAGGGGCGGGGAGGGAAATATATCTTTGGTTGTGGGGTCGGATTGTAAGTGGCGGAAGTGGCAGAGAATGATGCGTTAATGGGGTGATATGTGAGGACAAGGGGAATTCTGTCTTTGTTTCTGTTGCGGAGAGAGGGTGTGAGGGCTAATGTGCAGGAAACGCAAGAGATGCGGTTGAGAGCATTTTCGACCACTGAAGGGGGGAAGTTGCAGTCCTTGAAATAAGAGGACATCTGGGATGTTCGGGAGTGGAACGCCCCATCTTGGGAGCAGATACGGCAGAGGCGGAGGAATTGGGAATAGGGGATCACATTCTTGCAGGGAGGTGAATGAGAGGAGGTGTAGTCTAGGTAGTTG